CTCTCTCTCTCTCTCTCTAGTCTAGTTGGGTAATCTCAGTAGAGTTAGCTATCGGACCGGAGGAAGGAATCAGCTACCTCACAGATAAGGGCTTAACGGTGAGTGTGCACATCTTACAAGGTCAGTCTTCAGTGTGAGTCGTGTCAGAAATGATCAAGTTCAATAGTTCTGAATTTAAGAAGGCTGTCAAGAGTACTGCAAGCTTTTAATTGGAAGGCCAGAGTGACAGTACACCATGCTGCCCTCTACTGGTTTGCCTTTCTTTCTTCTCTGTAGCCCTTGTTGCAGTGAGTCTTGAAATGCTTTGCCCAGGTAGATTTAGTTACAAAACAGATAATATAAGTTAGAAAAGGCTGCATGTGTGAACACCAGGTGATGTGATTAGGAAAACTACACAGCTGCTTGCTGCAATGACAACTCAAAATATAAGTTAAAACAGCTAAATTGAGTTATTAAATTTCACCTTAATGAGGACAAACTGCCTGTCAAAATGTCAACAATTAATTTATTACCATAAGTTGATTGTAAATCGGAGCTTGTCCTCTTTGGCCTTCATAAATACATTACAATTTATTCTTGTTGTTCTGGTGCTCACTGTTAAAGGTCTGTGATTACTGTGGTTGGTATTATTTGTATCTAACAATAGAAAAACATGACTAGATGATGACTAGTGACATGACTAATGATCTACAGTTCTTTGAAAAGATTTGCACTGAGCCGAGTAAAGGGCATCAACATAAACATGTCTGTGTGTCTTTCTTTGTTTCTGCAGCCTACACACTTAGCTAACTTTAACCAGGTTCAGTCCATCCAGTACTCTGCTTTGGAAGAAAAGGACAGGAAAGGCATGCTGCAGCTCAATGTAGCAGGAGCTCCAGAGGTGAGAGAAAAAACACACACACACACTCCTTGCATATTGTTCTCTCAGCTTGGGGTGGTTCTTTGTGCCTCTGTTGTATTTGAATTTCCCCTCAAAACATAAATAACTTTTAAACTATTGATTCACATTGAGTTGAGGCATTTTAAGCTGCAACCCACTGCCTATATCTTCATCAAAAACAATTCTTTACAAATAATATCAGGCGAGATATATATAAAAACTACCAAGGTCAAAATTAT